TTTATTGAATTATTTACAAATATTTACAAATTATTCCTATCCACCGAAAAATCATTATCTTTAATGGAAAACGTTAATCTGTAGTAAAAACTTTTGAAAAGCGTGGCAGTGGAACAACAAAAACTCAAGGAGTTAACTGTGTTGTTTTAAGATGTACCGCTGTTTAACTGTTTCTCTTGCTAAAAATAAGTGGAATTTACGTGATCGACAATTCTACTAAAATATATATTATAAGTATTGACTATTTAATAAATAAACTAAAGGTTGGTTCATGTGCATGGATAGAAAAATTTCTCTAACTATGGCAACTACTTGACATCACACATTTCGTATGAGGCAGAGTAAAACCATCTTATAAGACACGTAGTGAATCTTCGATTGCTTACACCTATATATATAGACGAGCATTATTAGCTATTAACAGTTCTTATTTCATTAAATTTCTAGTTTATTGGTTGAAAATATCTGCTTAAGTTATGCCATTCTCTCAAATGATACTTCTCTCGACTATAGATACAAGTGTCAGAGAAGGGGTTTGACCACTTCATTTTCTAGTGATACCATGTTAAGGCATGGAAATAATTTATTAGAGCCTTAAATTAATATTAAGAATAATTTAACGCAAATACGTTATTATATTTATGAAATGTAATATACATATATAATAATCTAACATCTATCATATAATTTTAAATTTAACTATTTTGCTAACAGAATAAATGAACGATTACCTTTTTTTTAAAGTACCAAATTAAACATTGACTGTAATATATGAACTAAAAGAAATATAATCTTCGTTTTAATAGTTGAAACAAATGTGACGTGTGTTCAACTCGTTCGACTCTTCACTGATATTTTAACGTAGGTACTTATAAGTATAAGTATAGGAAGCATTTATTATCTGCGCACATTTTTTTCTTATCTTAAACTGAACATATTTAGGAATATTTTTTAAGATTTCATTTACAAATATCAAAATTTGAATATTTAACAGACAGTATATATATCAGTTATTAACCTTCATTAAGTTTTTATATATCCATTAACCAGGCCCTACTTGCACGGTACGGGTAGGCCAATAACACTCAACCTGCCTTTTTCAACCCCGCCCTGGTTGAAGAGTCCTCGTTTGAGGCTCTTCTTTCGTAAAAAAGTTTCATCGTAAGTAGGAACCTCTTTATAGATATTTTTTCCGGTGTTTACTGATTGAAAAAAGAAAAAAAACACGTTAATTTGATTTATCGTAAAGAACTCGTATTAAATTTTGTGCTCTGATTACATTTTTTTCCTGTTTATATAGTTTTATAATGTAGATATACCACTTAATTTGCATTTTTAACAGTTTATAATTATTTATAAACTGTTTACTAACAAAAAATGGAATATTTTAAACAAAACATCCAAATTCATACTATGAAATTAATTGGAAATCATCGTGTAAACGACGTAAATACCGATAGAAGCCATTGGCGTAAAACTAATACATAATAAACATAATTGTAATGACTGTTTAACAGAGGTAGCGATCCGTGGCCTGACTTTAATAGCTTAGTAATTTACAGCACCTGCTAGCAACATAGACAGCATGATGTCCAACTGGAGAGAGGTAGTAAAAAAATATATCTGTAGATATAATACTTATAATAAGCTCATGGAATGTAATCATTATTATTGTATTTTTTATGTATGAGCTTTTGTGTATGTATGTATATAGGTATGTTTATATATATGAAAACATGTTTTCTCGCCATGTAAGACACCGTCTACTTAAGTAATAATCCAGTCTCACCTGCGATTGCCTGGAAGAAATTGCTTTTTAGCGATAGGCCGCCGATTGTACCACAAACTTGTATCGATTATCCTTTTCTTTAATTATGGTATATAATAAAAGTATCCATTCATTATTTATATAAAAATACAACAGATAATATGAGTTCATTATTTTCTAGATATTATCTGATAAACATAAAAGACATAAGAATTCTGATGGTTCCGTGCTTATTAACGATGTACCAAGAACCATATATTTTTAAAGGAAGTATAAAATTAGTTTCTTTCATCTCCTTTAGCGTGATTACTATTGTTAGCAATCAGCTGTTTTGTAACAGCTGAGATGTATGACTGGGCTGCTGTCAATATGTATCTGACAATAGTGCATGTTAAGAAGTTTTTGCTCGATGAGCGGATCAACAGTTGCTCACAAATGTTACCATGAATACGAGGCTTTATTTGCATTTAGCTTTAGCCGATTTTCAGGCAAAATTGTTGGATTTTAGTATTTTCGTTTCCTTCTAACAAGAAATTACGGTTTTATTTGTTTTCTACACTTTTAACGATTTAGTTCAATTAACCACTAATGGTAAGCAAGAAATCCAACCACAAATATGTATTAAGATTATCTAAATAGTTTCGTCTCTATAAATCAATATAAACTTTTTTTCATTCTATCTGAGTTGAATGTAATTTGTTGCCCAAAAAATTAATTGTCAATTTGTCTCTGACAGTAATTAGTCCTAGATCCGGTTCATAGTATAAAATAAATTTGAGAACTTAATCAAAATAAAGAAAATTTATTAAGAGTAAATAAAATTTTATTAGTGTTGTCTTATTTCTATCTTCTATGGCTTTTAATGGTTTTTAACTAGTGACATATTACAGTTAAAACAGTAAAAAGTTGGCAACATAGGTAATTTCCTATATGATTGCCATGACTTGGTAAAAAATCTGAAGTCTATTATGAAGACATCTATTGTGGCGGTGATGTAAGTACATGAGTGCTAATTATGACGTTACAATACTTATTTAAAATTCAATATTAAAGCAGCAAGCGTCTTACCTTGATATTGTACATTCTTGGGATAATACTGAAGTATTGTATAACTAATTGGAAACCAAAAAGGTATATTTACATTAGAAAATATTGTTATCTACATTTGTTCCAATAGATTTGATGTTTAGATAAAGATATTTTCTTGTCAACCACAAATAATATGTCTATAATTTTATAAAGTCAGTCAAAACTTAAATACCAGCGGCTTTACCCGCGTAATAGAAACTGATTGATATGTCAAATTATAGACCCTACTTTGGTCATATATGGCATATCAAAAGTCGGACTAAATACGATTGAGCGGACACTGGGAAAAGACAGACTAATCCTGATTGATTTACTGATTGTTGAACAGTCAACAGATAGATCATTAAGTGCTACGTTATGACAAATAAATCAGAGCTTTACACGGTAGAGTCACAACTTTAAGGTTATATGATGACTAATTTTTGTTTGTTTGTCCGTCAGGTAGAGTGTTGAAAAATATTAAACACGTATTTTTTTATTTTTTTCGTAATCATATAATTACGGCTTTACATTGAGTTGAAATTTCGCATGACTTCACGTTAGGCTACGTTTTCTACTTAACCGTGACGTAGCGAGCCCTCACTCCTCAACTTTAATGCCTGTTATCTAAGCTATTTCTTGTTAAATTGAAGTAAAAAAAAATACGTATCTAATATTTTTCTATTATCTGACTGACGGACAAAACAGAATTGCATTTTTTTATCCAGTACTATTGTACGAGTTGTTCGATACGTAGTGATCTTTGTACTGATCATTGTTGCTAAACAACTTTCGTTAGGGTCGGTCTCGGGATGAATGACCAAAAATTATTATCTCCAGCTACTCCATGCTTCACACGGCATGTTAAGTCGTCGGTCCATCCTCTTTAACTTTTTTAATTTTACATAAGTAACTTCTTCATTGGAATTATGTAGCAAACAAAGATAGATTTAAATAATTATGTAAACGTTTTCACAAATTAACATGGAATTGCACATTTATCTTTTAATACTTAGATATGACGTTATAAACATCGTGAAATAGATTTGTTTCGTAAATCTTACTATATCTATTTAAAGTTAAAGTTGAATGTTCATCATGACCTCCATTTAAATAAAGTAACGTAGGTATGTTAAGAAAGTAGGGAAATCCGGCTCGAGGGAAAGGTGCGTTTGAGTGGCCAAGGACCAGTGCAGACAATTTAAAACATTAAAGAATCTACGCAATTTCGTCTGAGGGAACTTCCATGTTAAAAATATAAAAAAATATATTGGGAAGTGCTAAAAATAAAGTGTACCAAATAAAATTCACCCGTGGACAAATAGAGAAGGCCCTCATGTTACTGCAATATTGTGGGAATCATTAAATCTTTTTTGATTTTATCCTGAAAAATAATTACAACATTTATATGACTTTTCATGTTGTTGTGCAAGTAATCAATCCAACGGCAACTTCAATATGGAGAAGAATTACATACGGATCTTTGTTTTATAGTTAAGAGATAAGAAAGTAGATTAGGAATAATAATTTTCACCTGACTAAAGATACTAATTTCCTGCAAATTACCATGATGATCATCAAGACTCGATCTATTAGTTTATTTAAATATACTGATTTAACCCTGATTTAATCCAGATCTCGAACGGTACATTCCTTTATGTTGTGTTGCAACGACACAGAATGAATGTAAAACACCAGTCGCCATTTTTAATATATGGCGTACGTCTTGAGAATACACCTAAATAATCAGTTATTAATTGGCATGCCGTTTCTATTTTATCATCAAAAATAAAAATCGGGATCCAATTCTTGTACTATAAACAAATAGATAATGGTAAATAATTTAAACACAAGCCATCAGCATATCTTATTTTATAAATCTACAAAACAGTTATGCAACTAAATAATTATTAAAGTAGCAAGATTATACAATTGAGCAGCAAAAGAAAAAGACATAAATGATTTGGTTAGGTTAGGTTAGGTTAGAACTGCGACCAAACAACAACTATACATATATAAATGAAATTGTTAATTATTATATCACGCTATTCTAATATAACTAAATGTAGCCATTTTATGCATGACAAGTAGGTATAATAATATTTCTGATAGACTTACCTATACAAAAAAATATTAAGCTTATTGTATTTTTTATTGTTCTAAGGATGGCAATCTTTATGTGGAAATGCCTAACCTCATCCCGCCATGGTCAGTTCGAGGTCCTGACACTTATTGCATTGATACATTCGTCCTCGAAAATCCTGACGGAACGAAGACTACGCGTATGGACGCGTTGGCTTGCTTCGAGACATCTCAAGAGGAGCATTACTATTTACTCACTAGCACTTGTAAGTATGTAAGCATTTTAAGTAATGAGTATCCATACCAAAAATCACATAAACTATCTTCCTAATTTTTTTTTTTACGCAAATTAAGGCTATTTTATATTTATAAATATTTTGTAGATTATCACTCGGTTGCACAAACGTTCGTTAAGGTTTAAAGACATTTTAAGCACTCATGAATGTTTTGAATTTGTATCGGTTATTTTAATGACAATTTTAATGGATATTTGTGCTACAGATTGTAAGGGCAATTAATAATCTGACTGTCTTCTGACATAGATCTTCTCCAATGTTCGACATTCTTCTCTATATTGAGTACAACTTTGGAAGGTCATCCTTCCTTATTTTTATTCGTCCAAATAAATAAAAGTAGTTAAAATTAAACAGATCTGAAAACTTTTCTAGTAACGGCAGATCCTTGATAATGTGAGATTGTAACTTCCTCGTACTGAATAAGAACCGCACATCCGAACCATGAGACCAATTTCTATTTCTAACGGTAATGAAATTTCTTCAATTCTCGAGATGCTACAACGACTGCCTAAGATAGGATTAACATAATAATACTTTAACTTTGTCCAGGTATGTTAACATCGTGCTTGTTTATCTTGGCGACGTGCGCGGTGTACGCGTGGCTGCCGGAGTTACGCAACCTCCATGGAAAGGTGTTGATGGCGTATCTCCTATGCCTCTTCTTCGGTTTCTGTTTATTCTCCGCCATGCAGATCCTTCTCTACGTCGACAACATAACAACGAACGCCTGCATCATACTAAGTAAGTAAATACTCTTGAAGAACTAGCACCACACCTTCGATTTCGTCCACGTAAATTATAGCCGATGCTACCCGCGTCTAATGTAACTTCAAGTAGATGAATTTTTTTTTACAATCAGTCCAGTAGTTACGGAGCCTATTCTATGCAAACAAGATTTTTTTTCCTATTTATAAAATTAACGAATATAAATTTAATGTTTGCGTTTTTGTTCGTTTGTGTTAAGTGAAAACTGTTTGTGCGATTTAAAAAAATCTTTCATCAATTTATAGCTACTATATAACAAGTAACGCTATATTTCATTAAACAAAAAGAAGATGAAACGTCAGTTTTGTGGTCAGATTATTTCTTATATACTTATTAGCGGATTTTTGAAATCGCTCTCTTAAAGAGTACGCATTACGCATGCAGGTTTATTCTTTTTATGGATCGATTTGTTAACAATAAGAGTATACGTCTCGATATTCTCTCATAAGGTTCTATAATTATTATTATCATACATAACAATAATATACATGACAATTAATATGTCAGCATTTTATAAGATTGATTAAAGCAATCGTGATTCGTGGGTTTTTTATACGCTTAAATCAATTCACGTAAACATAGTTAAAGTTTTTAAGCGTTATTCTTATATTGTATACCTGTCATAATATTTACCTTCATAACTAAGTATTATACTATTTTCTTAGTTAAAAGTTTTTTTTTTAATACTAGGATTTACCCTCTACATCTCGTCAATTAATGTGCGGTAGGGATTTTCCACATTAACAGATTATTTCAAGCATGTTTCTTCTCATCTCCTTTTTATAATAAACCTCAAAATATAAATACCTATTTATTCTTTAGTATTCACTAGCTTTTATAATGTTTTTATTAATAGTTAACTCTTATAACGCAACTTTACACATATTGAGTCCTGTATAATCTATTTCCTACGTCTTTCTAATAAAAAGAATAAATAACACATTACTTTTAAGACATATACGCTCATGTGCTTGAACTTACGTGTTTAAGTACGTATAGTCAACATTGTACTATATTTTGGGCCTGCGTATTATTTACTGTTGGCGTACGCATAATATTTTCGAGCTGAAAATCTACCGATTTTTGTCTATGTGAGGGCTTTATACATCAATTTTTGTTTATTGTGACAGCTTAGAAATAAGTTATTTTATGTAAATATCGTTACTTCCTTGGGGGGCGTCCATAAATTACGTGAGATGTTTAAGGGGGGGAGGGGGTCGAGGCAAATCTCATCTAATCTTACGTTGGAGAGAGGGGGGGGTCTCTGCAAATATCACGCAATTTTTTTTCTGATTGAAACAAAAAAAAATACTATTTTGGTCCATTTAATCTAGATTGTACATGCTTAAGATTTAATCTTAAGCGTAATTGTATATGATTAAGATCATTCACTAATTCGTTCGAAAGAAAATAATTTCATTCATACTTCGACGCTATACATCTACTGAATGTCAAACCACCATATTTGTAGGGCTCGAACGATACTTTCGAACCGAGTAGGTATCGATACTTTCAAAAGCGATACTCGATACTGAGTACTCGATACTACAACAAGGCAAATACTCGCAAGTACTCATCAAATTGCATTTTGAAAAATCTCACGTGAGATTGGGGGATGGGGGAGGGGGTTGAATAAAATCTCACGACATCTCACCAGAGGGGGAGGGAGGGACAGAAAATTAAAAAAAACACCTCACGTAATTTATGGACGCCCCCTTGTCAGCCTAAAAGACGCCCTGAATGGTTACAAGATAATTTCAATTTGTAGTCTATAATTATGCTAATGCTAATTGTCTTGGTAAATCTTATGCAATTTTATAGGCAGGTAAACATACTATATTTCGTTGAGGACTTTTTGTCAACCCTAAGCCATCTAAACCTTATACATCTTTAAGTGTTGGAAATTGATGACGACAACAACTACTTACAAAATCTGTTATTGTGTGGACATCGACAAGAGGTTCAAACTTTAAGTAGGTTCCGGTTTAAAGATACCTTTATCCGACCTTTGCATTGATGGGTCGAGGTAATTTACAAATTACTTCGAATCATAGTTGTTTACGCCATATGTTTCAACTTATTCTTTTATATCGGAGGTGCATTTCAATATTCATTGAAGGCTGTTACAAGCATTCGTGAATATCGAAAGCTGTGCCATCGCTGAGACCTTGGAGATGAACCGGCTAGAAACTCAACAAGGGCTACTTTTTTTTTCCTGTTTTATCTTACACAGAGAAATCTTACACAGAAAAAAATGACTTCGTCAAACTACAAAGCGCGGATTCACATCCGCGCTTTTCTCTATAGAATCACTTTCTACTTATTGATAAATTAAAAGATAATTGTATAATAAAATTGTAAATAAAAGAAAATAAACAAAACGAATTAATCTAGAAGTATTCCAACACCTGCTATTATCTCATAAAATTTCCTGAATCTAATAAATAGCTTTAAACATTTTACTGTTCCATTATAAAATAAGATATATACCAAATTAAAAAATATATATTTATGTTAAATAAGAGTTTTAACTTTTAAACACCATTTAAATGGCGAATGTCGCGCTCCGATGCCGTTCATTTGAATGCTTGCGACATAAAAACATTCTCGCGTCGTCTACGACCCAATTCCCTTACTATTTTTATAAGTACCAATCTTCGATATATTTTTAAAGAGTAAATTTAGTAAAAGTCCCAAAGTAAATGTACTTTTCAAAATCGAACAGCGATTTTTTTTCTGATAGATAATAAACTTTCGTTTTTTTATATCGAAATTTAATAAATACTAGTGTGTTGTTCTCTATTTTATTTTAACATAGAACCTAACGAGGTTTAGACATAAAACCAGACTTTTTTTAAAAGTCTGAACGGAAGCGTTCAGACTTTTTAAAAATGAAAAAGGTCTGAACTTTTCAGTATAAAGTTCCAAAAATCCTTCGTACATTAATTATTTCTATGTATATACCAATTATAGAATATTTTCCAGTAAAGCATTATGAATGCAAAAGTGATTAAATATATTATATATATATATATTAATTTCAAGTGATTAAGGATGCGTAAACATACAAATATGTAATAATAAGCAGGTTAACATTTAATTATAATTAAGCTCATAAGTTGTGAACTAAATTTTAACTTGCTACTTATTATTCATTTGTGTTTACACGTACTTCATCATTTATAATTAAGTTAAAAATCTGTTTAATTACGTGTAAACGAGCCATTGGACGCAGTAGCTTTTCCACTTTCATATAATACGACTGAATTAATGAAATCGATTTTGTATGTTAGGTTTTCCATGATTTTCCCTCGAGGTCTTTGTTCTAGATGTGATATTTTAGTTGCCATATTTTATTTAACTGTAGGTGCATGGTTCAATTAATAAGGTCATAACCGGTTTTGTAACGATGAAAATGCGAAGGCTGTATGTAATTTGTTTTGTTGTCATAATCTCTAGATAGAGTCCGAATTAAAAGTGAATATGATAATTATCAATAAGCTTATAATATATTCAAAGGGTAATTCAACTCATATTTCTTAGCGATATATACTCGTATTTCTCTTTTTAACGTTTTTTTAGGATTTCTTAGAGAACTTGATGGCGCAGCTCTAGAAGTGTAAATAAATAGTTAAACTCTTAGTTAACATTACATATATTGATCAGATTCCAAGATGAGTGGCTAAAGCCTCTGTATTATGGAGTATGTGAGAACGGAGGTCAACACCCAGACCCGAGACAATATAGAAAAGTTCATTTTCTACATTGACCCGATCGGGAATCGAACCTGTGACCTCAGAGATGGCGACACCTTGATATCACCACCACCACCAGCCCTTTTACGTCCCCACTGCAAGGGCTCAGGCCTTCCTTATGGATGGTTAAGGAGGATGGGCCATGACCCTCCACGCTGGCCCAATGCGGATTGGAGGGAATTGACGACTGCAAATGCAGCCGGGACCAACGGCTTAACGTGCCTTCCGAAGCACGAAGTAGCTCGAGATAATCATTTTTTGATCACCCATCCCGTGACCGACCCTTGGGAAAGTTGCTTAACGACTACGATCGCGGGCCGCAGCGCTTATCCACTACGCCACCGAGCTACTCCCTATATATCCTTGATATCGCATCGGCGCAATTAGCACTTTCAATGATTTACGATGCGGATGTTAACATCTTTCGTAAAGGCCGGTCATCCGATAGGGGGCCAAAACATTTATTACCTTATCTTATCCTTTTGGAAATGCATGCTGTTGCCTCTGCCGTAACAACACCCATCAACCCGCACTGGACTTGCGAAGCTAAATTCTTCCTAATTAATTGATGTCATCTTTAGGAAAAGCCTATGCTTCAACAGTGGGGACTTTAATAGACTAAATGATGATACCTGTCTTATCTGTCTTAATAGTATCGTAGGGTAATACCCGAGCGAATTACATGACTTCGGAAGCTCTATTTTCTCTCTCAGAAAACGAAATTTCGTTTTAAAGAGAGTAGGATAAATTACATTTTCGAAATGCTAATAAGACTCTAGAGATACGCGTTTTTCGAAAATTGTGATGCAACGGAGGTCGAACCCTACACTACCTCTGATGAATAGATAATCTTAACGGATATACAATAATTACAACAAACAGAGAAGGCCCGCGTGACATGACGAACTCGAGAACGTTTTGTCTACACCAAAATGACACTTTTCTCGGATGCGCCCACACGATATCTCACTTTCGATCCGAGAAAAGTGGCGTTTGGTTCAGATTGGGGTAGACAAAGCGTTTCTCGTGTTTGTCATGCTAAACGGTGCAGGTGTCATGTTAATTAGTATGGGTATATACATATTGTTTTTTCCATATGATAAACTAATCTCTTTTTATTATAGATTTATTGTAAAAAAGCAGAATATGATGAGTCATATAAAAATATCGTATGAATAACTTATTATTAATTGTCACTTACTCTGTATTATCTCAAGGCAGTTGATGCGCATGTGATTGAAACAAAGGATATGGAAGTGTTACTAATATACTAGCGAAATGTTAAGTGTTTCACATCAGGACTTAATATTAAGAAGGGCACTTCATTGGAATATAGTACTGAACAAAAATATGAACAACAAAGAAGCAATTTCGTTTTTGTACACACATAGATGTCAGACAGATGATGTCAGACCGGAACCCATTTTGAACTCTACACATATCGCATTAAGAAAAAAAAACAGTTGTGTTTATAAGTTCAATTTTATTTATTTTATTTGGGTTGGTGAAATCACATAACTAATTGTTACAATATTTAAGTTTTCATTTGTCAATATCATTGACAAAATGACAAGTTAAAGTAGCAGATTTATTTCATCTCTTTAAAAATTTTAAAACCTTTTATAATTTATACATAAATATACTCGGAGAGCTGAGTGTATAATTGTTTTCTAGGTGTTGAATTACAATAACACATTCAACATAACATTGTAAATAAATTACTAATTAGTGATAGGTTTAAATGAAATCAATATATTGTAAACACGAACCAATAATGAAAATTGAAAACAGATGCTCACAAAAGATAACACAAAATGAATAATATACTCAATATGCCAGTGATTAAAAACTCTGTATACAGTTTATAAGACTAAAGGTTTTTCTTTTTACCAACCGATAAAAACTCTAAAAATTATTAAAAATTCAAAATACATAAGAGATGTATGCATGACATGAATCAGATCTTTGGCCGAACAATAGATTGGTTTAACATTTCCTGTTGTGGATGAACAAAAGTTGCGTACAAATTACTCAGTCTTCGATGTATATGGGAATATATTTTTAATGCATCGATACATACGAACTTCCATTGAATAAATATACAAGGACTAATCATATATACTTATGCCTTCTTCTAATGCCTTCTTACAGGTTACAGAAGGTATTAGGTTCTTTCATGGGTCAAGGTATACAATACTTTAATAAGATCCCCAGTGATGTATTAGATTTGCCAATAAATCATTTTAAAAGTCATATAAAAAGTTGTCTACAAAGTAAAGGGTATTATACCGTTAAGGAATATCTAAATGACAAAAAGGCATGGTGTTAGATATTTTAACTTTATTGTATTTACTTTCTAATATTGTAATGGAAAGTGACTTCATATTTTAATGAAGTCACTTTTCAATAAGACTTCTCTGTGTGAAATAAAACAGGGAGAAAAAAAACAGCCCTTGCTGAGTTTCTTGCCGGTTCTTCTCAGTACACGGTCTCCCGCCGTAGTTTTCGACTTTCACAAGTGCTCTGTAAAAGCCTAAACTGAATAAATAAATTTTGATTTTGATTTTTTGATTATATTTCAATAATTTACTCATATATGAGCTTATGAAATCTCATTTTAACACATAAAGAAAAACTGTGACGTCAAGCCGTGTGATTCTCACGGGAGTAACATTATTTTAATAGACACTAATGATTATAAATACTCTAGTATAATTATAAATACATTGCTTGATATATTAAGAAAAAAAATAAGACTTTATTATTGAAATAGTAAAAAATCTTATTTATGAAGTCTAACTGGCATACATAATTTTTCTGTCAAAAATAAAATATCCAATTAATTATTCATTAAATTAACTCAACATCTAGTAATATATTCATTGCAAAAGGAACAAATAAACGTTTTCTTTGTTCCTTTACCAATTAGAGTAATGGTGGAAATTTGGTAGTTATTCGGTGGAAACCCACCGGCAACATATTTTTCACACATTTCAGACACACCTCGAACACAAAGTGACAATTACATATTGGAACTTTAGGAACAGCTTAATTAATTACACTGGCATTTGATTAATGCTTAAAACACATAGTATAATAATGGAGGATATCTTAATCCAAAGATATAGTAAAAAGTAATCAATAGACAGACAGATCCCAGTTGGTTGATGACATATTGGTAGGCTATTGTCATCACATTGTTGATAGGAATTCAGACAGACCAAATCCCAAGGCATACAAGCCTAAAGCAGCAAAAAAAAAAGCTCCATTCGTATATTAAATTTTAAAATAATGTATGTAATAATAATCATTGCAGAGTTACAAAAAACTCAATGGCGACTTTGAACAAGTTTTTCTATATTCGTAATGATTCTACACTCTTAATGGCACCCTGAGATGGGTGATCTTTTTAAGCAATTTTCATGAATAATATTTTTCAGTACAGCATTGTGAATGCAACATTAAACAAATATAATATTAAGTTTATATACATTTTCAAGTACATTATTCCATTAGTTTGTATAATATTGTTTTCGATGATACTTTTCTTAACAATTTCAACACAAAATAAATTGACAAAATGTCAATGATGAGTAATAATTTGGGACAAAAAATTAGTAAATAATATATTGTAACATTAGTGCTGGTGACATTCTTTATCTCATTTTCCTTATTGATAAGGATAATATAAAAATAAGACGAATGATATTCTTGGCTTTATTTTCTTAAACTCTTTTTTTTATATTTATAAAACATATATCTGTATTAATATTATAAAGAGGTACAGTTTCTAGCTTTTTTCATTTGTTTGTAGGGGGTAATCATCAGAAATGCTGAACCGATCATGAAAATTATTTTCTCTAGGGAAAACTATATCATACGAGGCTGACATAGGCTATAATTTAGAAGCGAAGTCACAGAAAAACAATTAGTCGATAATAGTTTTAATAGAATAGCAATACAATATAAAACCTTTTTGTAAGCGATTCAAAGTTAAGTTCCGCATTGTTTAACTCGTGTTAACGAAACCATAAAGTTATATCGTGACCAAACCCAGTGTGGGACCGACAAAAACTAATTTACAAATTTCGTCCGGAAACCACTTGGGATTTGGGGATCGTTAAATGCTAAAGTACCATTTCGACAGTAGCGCGATACACTTAATTATTTCAAGATACCTACTTTCATTTATTCACGTCTTCAGATTATTTAATATATACTTATTATTACTTTTCCGTCAGCGGCTTCGCTCGCGTGTTCTTGTATTATACTATTTGAATCACTCTATCTATGAAAAAAAAACCGTATCAAAATCCATTGCGTAATTTTAAAGATTTAAGCATACATAGGGATATGGGACAGACAAAGCGACTTTGTTTTATACTATATAGTGATGATATAAAGAAATTATTGTTTTCTTGTGTGTTTATGAATATTATATAGAGGAAAGATTTGATTATTTGTTTGTTTGCATCGAGTAGGCTCTGAAACTACCAGACCGATGGCAATTATTTACGTGGGCAATGTCACGGGAAAACGGTTGATAAAAAATTACCTCGAAAGTTAAAGGTGAAATAATCAAGAACGATTTTTTCACCAACACAAAATTACATAGGAAATAAAAATTGTTTTTCTATTGTTTCAGCGATCGCTATTTACTTTTTTCTGTTGTCAGCCTTCTTCTGGCTAAACGTCATGTCCTTTGATATTTGGTGGACTTTCAGGTAAGATAAAGATTATATTTCAGTTAATATCTTTGAAATTATATTTTCTTTTGACAACAATTTACTGGATTATACGTATTTGGACATATATCACACCACAATTGACTAATATTTCAAATACTGCCTTTTAGATTATAAATATTCACAAAAAAAACTCGAGACTCAAAAGTATGTAGGTAATTAGTGTAATGGTGCAAACTATTCGGCTACAATATATATTGTCACATATTTCAGACACACCCTAACCGAGTGACAATGACGCATTGTATTTTAACGTCTGAATTTTATATAAAATTAAAACACAGGCAATTGATTAAAAGCTGAATTAAAGAATATCCACTTATTAAAGGAGTGCTCCAGAATTTATAGATAAATATATTGAGTAGCTCAGTGGCGTAGTAAAAGCGCCGCTGCCCGCGATTCTAGTTATTAAGGAACTTTAGCAAGTGTCGGTCATGGGCGGGTGACCAAAGGAAAATATTATCTCGAGCTACTCCATGTTTTAAAAGACATGTTGATCTGTTGGTACCAGCTGCATTTGCAGTCGTTAATACCATCCAATACGCATTAGGCTAGCGTAGAGGGTCATGTCTCATGCTCCTTAACTATACGTAAGAAAGGCCTGAACTCTTGCAGTGGGAAAGTCCTCAAAGGGCTGATGATTAGATACGTAATAAAACCCGCTGTGGTTCGCCTCACGCGGTTGGATAATTCCGATATACTACTAGTATGGCCATCTCCCAATCTGCGCTGAGGACCTCTCTCACTGGGGGAGAAGGAAAAGACTTGGGTCAATAATAGTCATTTTCCAAACGGTGAACTGTCCTTGTGAGCTTGTCTCGCCGGGGCACTGGTGGAGTGTTAGCCCTGTCCCACGGATCCGAAGGAGCAGTCGCTTTTACAATCACTAACTAAAGCTCTGATCGATGTGTTCAAATAATTGGTCAGGCTAATAGATCACTTATCCGTACACCAATCAGGGTTGGTCTTAGATTGAACGAACCAGTCCTAATTGATGTTCTTCGGATTAATCTGTTATCCTGATAGATTGTTACGGCATCTTCTTAACAGATATTAATAGAAGTTATGTTTTTTCTATCTACAATTGATTTCAATGGGCTTTGTTTGCTGTGTTACTATAGAAAGATATTCATATCAAGGTTTTTGCAAGTGACCCTGAACTCATCAGCTGACCTTTATTAACTATTTGTGTTTATTATTAAACATGTATCATCAGTCACACATTAGTCATTACACATAAGGCTATGCAAGACTGTCAAATTCCCCCACTCCATTTTAAACCTTAATACGTTTAGAGTATAGGTCAAAGTCCATTGCAGAAATTTGTCATATTTTGGTAACTTGACCTGCAGCCGTGTGTCTATAACAGGAAAATTTCAATGATCTTTCTTCTTTATTTTAATGTATTTCAGTGGGAAACGCGGTCTATCACTGGAGAAGCTGTCGACGCAGGGCAGATTCTACGCGTACGCAATGTACGCGTTCAGTATACCCACGGCGCTGACCATACTCATGACTGCACTTGAGTTCTCGGGATTGCCGCCGCATCCGTGGCTGCCGATGATTAAACAACAGGGCTGCTTCTTATATGGTGAATAATTAACATATATTCATTGATATGGTGTGTTTTTTGAAGCAATCGATACAGTATTGCTTCAAAAAGAAATGTAATATTTTGAATTTATTGAATGCTTGATGGTGCTCCCGATCTGTGGTATTGTGGTTAAGCAACTTTCGCAAAAGCCAGTCAAAGGATGGTGACCAAAAATTTATTATGTCGAGTTCTTCCGCGCTTCGTAAGGCACGTTAAGACCCGTCCAGGCTGTATCTATAGTCAATAACTCCAACCACACTGGGCCAGCGTGCTTATAGTGTCATCCACGCATTAAGGAAGGTGTGTGCTCCAAAAGTAGGGATATTAATATGATTAAATATGATGATGATGACATCAATATTATATAATAAAACACCGATAAGTATTACTTGGACGGTTTTGTTCTGACGACTAAACCTTTCGATAATCAGAATATTGGTTTCGTTTACTTAAACCATCACTGTTTCCATAAATATTTATTTATAGTGACATCTAGTGTATTGCCAGTGCTATATCTTTACTTATTAAAAAACTAAAAAACACGACTGCCAAAATCGAACTAAAAATTTAAGAAAAAAGTTGATTTATGGCTAGGCTCAGCAAAATTCTCATTCAGTCAAGGGATATGTCTGTAGAACATTTGTTATCTAAGAACCCCGACTTCTCTCATTTTTAGTTCGATTTTGACAGTTGTATTTTTCAATTTTTAAATTATTTATTAATTATTGCTTTATTCCTTTTGGGTAGATAATTATGTATACAATTTATATTTTTTTGGAATGTGTTCATCAAAACTTTGATTTGGTACCTATATTGTAAAAAAATAAGAAAGGACATTGTTTTTCTTATTTTTTTTATAAATATATGTATTGTCAGTGCCACATGAGATGACGCAAATTTTCTAATGATACCCTATAGCATATACGTTTAGTATTCCAAAATTATGGTGAAATAAAGAAACTTACATACATACACATAATATCTATACTCGTTTTTTGGACAGTCGAGTAAAAAATCATCTTATATTTTTGCAATTTACGCAGTTAGCTGATTTTTTAAAGTATTTGTTTATTCCGTCTATCTCTTTCAATTCTCTTCCTCTCTATGTGTGTATGTCTCTATTTATTAAATAATATTTTATAATTTACATCTTTGCAGCTTTTAAATAAGGTGTAGTAAATACCTTTGTATATTCCAGGTACTAGTAAGTTGATATACTTCTACGGACCGATTGTGGTGCTTTGCTTAGCCAATATGGTATTTTTCATCCTGACCGCGGTCAAGATAACACAAATCAAAAAACAAACAGCAGTCCTGAAATCCAAGGAAAGTTCCAGACATGACCAGCACAAAAAAGATAAGCAAAGGTAAGTTTTAAAAGTTTATAAGATGGTAATTCTGTTGCTTCTGAGAAAAATAATATTTCCTTTTAAAAAATAGAACAGCTATATGTTTCATCTTATATTAAATTTACGTAAACTTAAATTGTATTGTATATTGTTTAATTTATTTACTATTACATTAAATTAAGTATGACACAGTTACAAAAGTACACACTAGTCGTAACATTTTTATAAAAAAATATACAATGAATTACATCTTATGTAGTTCATACCTAAGTAAGTCACAAAAAGATCCAAAGGAAATCAGGTTAAGATATCACATTCTTACAATATATTATATTTGTCATAGGAATAGTCGTTTTCCACACACAAAAAATACTCTAGAAGTATCTCAAACTACAGATGACCTATGTTACTTACCTAAAATGAGAAGGTATGTTGGAAGGATTGAGCTTTGAGTAACAAAATACATGTTAGATTAACGAGAATCATGTGATTTTTCATCCATAAATGATTGCATTAAAAACTTTAAACTTATCTAAAAGTTCATATATTTATTTATTATATTTGAACAATTTTACATTCACAATATATACTGAAAAATATTCTTAATCAAAAATGCTTAAAAAACACTTCCTTGTCCTTAGCACTCTGAGATGGGACTCGAAGCCCTGACCTTTCACAAATTGAATTTTTTAAGCATATTTCATTAAGAATATAGTTCATATCTTGCTTGATAAGTGCTTCAAACGATAAAGGAATGTTTACACAATATTTATCGGCCTAATATGTTTAAAAACAAAATAATAATGTAAAAATATTAAATATTTCCAGACTTCTGTTATACATCAAACTTTTCGCCGTGATGGGCATCAACTGGATCCTAGAAGTGATCAGCGCTCTTTACCCTGGAGCTTACGGCCTTTGGCGTGTCACTGACGTGTATAATGTCCTCATCGGTTTGACCATCTTCATAATCTTCGTATGCAAACGTAAAATCTACTACCTCATAAAGAAAAGGTTAGAGTTCATTAGGAAAAACATATTTTATTTAGATCATATCTTGTCTATTCGATGTGCGTAACTTGTTTTTGTATGATACATACATTACATATATATTTATCCAACGTATAAAGTCGTGAAACGTATTTTTTGTAAACTCGATTTGAGCTTGTTTAATTTTACCTTAAATTTACAACGCAAAAATCTATCTAATGATATTATTTTTTACAAAAAATCGAGGCCTGGTTCTTCTGAATAAAAGTTTTATGATTTTATACAGTGGAAATACCATTTCACTTCCAACCTAACAAGAGTGTCTTTAAATAAATTTAAAAAAAGATCGAAATATGTACCTACCACACTAAAATATAAAATAGAAAAAATATACACCTACTTGCAGAATAACAAAAGCCGCCTTATAAATTGATCGTCCGCCAAAAATTTATGATAATGAACTACATAAAATATCTTCTGTATCCAGGATCAAAGAAAGGTATCATCATAATGAAAGTGATGGTGATTTGAGAGCTTTTGATCCAAGTCGAGCTAAACCTTGGTTGAATAAAAAATATGAAACGAGGGGTAGTGTCGACACAATAAAAAGTACCGTTGGAGAAGAACCAACAAAGAACGAGAAATATAAAAGAGCTGGAACAACACGATTTTAAACCTTAAAAAATAAATAATGAACAAAGTACAACTGATGACTGAGTACTATATGAAATAGTAATGGTACTCTTGACAAATGCCAAAGACAAACGTTAGCAACATAATATTAGTGATAAATGAATTATTGCGGAAATTGGGACATGATTATTTACGGATGAAAATCCATGGAGCTATAAACGTAAAAAGGTATAATATAATGTTTAAAATACGTTGAGGAGATAACAATATAATCAACGTTGGTACGGAGTGAAAAATCTAACCGAAACTAACTCTAAGCGGATTGCAATTTACATTTTGCACTTTTTTTGTAAATAGTAGATTTTAATTCTTACAAGTCCATCCATAATTGCGTCATAGACATTCGAAATAATAAAGATGAGAAAGATAAATAAATAGGCCATATGAGAAAACTGTGGGTAGTACAACAGTTGTTATTGACGCGGGTAGGCAAATATTTTCACTAACGAAGTTACTGAAAGAAAGGTAGTTTGTTTAAACGAAATTTAATAAATTATGGGGCTTACATATTTACGAATTAATGGTCAGTGTTAATTTCATAATATATGCTCAGTTTTAGGAAATATGCTCAACGCAATTTTGTTGATTGGAATTCAAGCCAATACAAAAAAGTAATGGTTTTCTTGTTAATAATAAATTATAACATGTTAGGAGCATGAGATAAATATAAAGTTTTGTAATAAGAAATTTATAGTATTAGTTACTTGAATAGAATTGTAATTAAATTTTGTTGGTGTAATTTTGGATGGCTCTTTCAACTGTGATATTGTGGTGTGTGATAATTAATTTAAGGTTGGTTTTACTATAATGCTATTCACGTGTGATTTATTTGCACTCGGTTGATATCTATCTAATACCTATTAGATAATGTTAGTTTTAAGTTCACTTATTTCATTCACATTATTAGATTATGTTAGATTATGTCTTAGATTATGCCTCTCTATAATTTACACAATGGTTTATGGTTTGGGTTATGATAAGTAATTTTGACATTATGTAATTTGTTAAAAAATATTTAAACTTTTTATGGAACATATTACTTTTTTATCATTATTACATTAATTACCTACCTCAATTTGTGATGGGCTGATCTATTTACTGTACTAACATTATTAAATCATTATTTCTGAACTCCTTGATACAAAGTCGCTGCACTCCTTGACACAGAGTCGCCATTAAAAGATATTGGTACAAATAAGTCATATTCTTCGAATGGTTCATCACGGCTTAGTTGATTGTGACTGCCAATAGATGGCGCTAATATTCGTTTTAGAAATAATATATTAAACTACAATCACCGTCTTCATTTTGTGAATCTTTCTTACTTTTTAGCTTCCATTATCAATATGTACCGTAGTATATGTAACTATTTGTAGTTGACTTATTTGCGGTTGATTCACTTACGTTTTAGGCTGGGGCTAGCAGATAATCATATGGATGGTGGTGCACTTAGATTAATTCACAATAAAAAGGTCTGGATCGTTTGTCATTTACTGCTATGCTATTCTGTTAATAGATAAGCTCGAATTCGACTTGGGGCATAGCGCTGTCAGAGCACAGAATTTCAATTGAATATTCTTTATGCCATTTGAAGAACTGCTTTTGTATTTAATTGAACCTCTATATACGATAGCGCTACACTCGACGTCTGGTTCGAAAATGATTTTATAACAGAATAGTAGGGACTGCTTGCTAGTCAAAACTTAAAACACACTGTCCTAACGTTAATTTTATTTTAGCAACACTAAAAGCTATGGTGACTAATACTTATAAACAATTAGGAGTGACCTATAGGTATACTTACTACATAATGCTTTTTCAAATCTTGCGTTTGACAAACAAATTTCGCTTTATTTGCATTACTATGTTAAAATTGCTGTGCCATCAAGGTATAACAATATTTTTCAAAATAACTGATATTAATTATAAAAAACAAAAAATATTTGATACATTACACCTATATTAACGGTAAAATATTATGACTATTTATATTTTTGATTATTTCTTTTATGTATTTTCAAATATTTTCTTTTTCACTAACAATTTTATCGTATTTTTCATTTCATATAGTTCTCGTTTAATATTTTCACTGCGTAATTAGCGTAAATAGCTAACACTTGAACTTAAACATTTTGGTTTTATATATTTTAATTTTATGTGCAGATATAGACAAATGCGCGGTCTGCCTACAGTTTGGAACAATCAGACAACAATTTCCTCCCGAGTACTGTCCAGAGAAAACACGCAAGTCAACTCCATTAAATTACAAGTGAAGCAACCAAACGAATAATGTCGCATCACGTCAAAACTGATGAACCTTGTCTACACATATCCTTTACTTTTTGGTGTTATATTGTTATTTTGACAGATCAAAATGACAATATAACACGTTGAACCGACTGATTCAATTTTTTTATTAAAAGCCTATTATTTAAGTCAAGTAAAATAATGTAATTGAAGACTTATGCACGCTGCACAAACGTCCATTAATTTGTTATAAATTTAAAGCGACATTATCGATACAAATTTTCAAATTGAGAATTCATTAGTGCTTAAAATCGTTATTAAACTTTAATGGACGTCTGTGCAACTGGTCGAGTGTCTTTAGATAAACTCAAAGTCATATAAACAATCGACTATTAAAACTTTATAGCGCCTTACATTACCTATTGCGTATTTCAAATCCAAAGTTTAATGTATTTTAGTATAATTTGTAATTAGCATTAGGTAGGTGTATTATTACGAATCATAACAAAATAAAATGCTAATTACATGGAGGGTAGATGTCCCGGTTTTAGGTTTTTAAAATGTTGTGGAAAAACTTATATTGTGACAACTGTCGATGTTTCAAAGTTCACTTCTTTGTAATTCTTGCAATAGCAAAAACCAGGTTTTATTCTTAATGAAACATGCTTAAAAAATTCACCAGCCCCTGGTACCCCAAGAATAGTCGATTTTTAAGAATTTGTCATTAAGAATATTAACCAGTATAGAATTGTAAATTCAAGTTTAAACACAACACACTTGATAGTCACTGCATTAGCGGAGACTGGGACATAATTGGCCTTAACACAGTGCTATAATATATTTTAAAATGGCCTAAACCGTGTCATATGCCATTTATATTTAATAAACCTGGGAAATAACATAATATTTGATTGATCGATTGGAGATTTATAATAAAAAAGTACTGCTTTTTTTCATCGATAACATATCACGATGGAACAAATTAGGAAATTAATTTTCAAATTATAAAAATAATCGTCTAAGTAAATAGAACCCTTAATAATATAAGGAATATATTAATTGTTTATTGACCAATTTGATACAAAAGGCGGACTTGATGCTAATAGCATTCTGGCCCAGTCGATCTTTGGGAAAATTGACAAACACGATGGCTACAAAAAAAATTGCAGCAATTAATGCTAAACTAATCATAAACAATATTTATATATGCGAATATATTTATAAATATATTCATTAATATATAACATATAGATAAATACATAGATGATGATGACAATCTTCACAAGCCTTGCAAAATAAAGGAATGGACTTTTTTATACCTACTTTTGTAACTATGTACCAATATATGAATATTATAAGAATGTCCTGGATATGACAGTATCATCTTGGATCAATTTAAAAACAAGTTAACATAATTATAAGGCACTATTCTAGTCGTTAGAAGCTATATTATATGTTTAAATGTATTATTTACATATTACTATAACAAATCAATGTGTGGCTATGTAAACTGTATTTTTAATAATATCTCAATTTAATTGCTGGTATTTTGAAATAACTTCAAAATTTAAGTAAAGTTAGGTATAATCTAAAGTGTAGAGGTGAAACCAATATTGAGGTTACCTATGTGTTTTTTTCTTAAGTTTCGAATACAGGAAAAAATTGTAATCAGTATGCAAAATTGGATACTCTATTTGTTACGGTGAATTATATTCACATATTTTTCACTCTCTTTCTGTCTCCTTAACCTGCTAACTGCTAACATCGGAGATAAAAACAATAAAGTTAGATATGTATTTTGAATATACTCTAATAATTTTGTATATCTATAATTATGTTATTATTATGAAACCTTCTAAAACATCTTCTATCAACGATACTAATCCTTAAAGGAATTTTTGCAAGGGTCAATGTCTAAATTGACCGGACTACTTGTGCACTTATGACAATTTTTTCCTGTATACTATATTTTATGATCACCAGCAAAAAAAATAAAAAGCACTGATTTATTTCATAAGAATAAATAAATATATTTGTATATAATCACTATTTATCACAATTCATATTATTAATAAATACCTACATCAGACTAGTCCAATATTTCCAAACGTACATACTATCTTACAACATTTTATAATAATTTTACAGTATATTCAAAATAACTGAAAAAGAAAATATTATTGACAAAAGACAAACAGAAAGGGTGCTATTTTTTTTTTCTACGCTCTGCTTTGATAACAGGGCCCAGCAGGGCCATTCTGTAAAAATCCGAACCCGAATTAAAATTCACTCATATGGCCGAAATCACGTGAAGTACGAATTCAGTGAAGAAATTCTATTGATGCCATTTCTTGTTTAAAATACTAAACAAAATAGGGATGATGACTGGGTAAAATAAATGCAATTCTATTTAGTCCGTCAGTCAGATAACAGAAAAATATTAGATACGTTTTTTTTTTTTTACTTTAATTTAACAAGAAATAGCTTAGATTACAGCTATTAAAGTTGACGAGTGGGGGCTCGCTACGTCACAGTTGAGTAGAAAACGTACTCTAACGTGACGTCATGCGAAATTTCAACTCAATGTAACGCCGTAATTTTATGATTACGAAAAAATAAAAAAATACGTATTTAATATTTTTTAACACTCTACCTGACGGACAAACAAACAAAAATTAGTCATCATCCCTATTGATTGATTATACGTGTCTCAGATATTCTGTTCCTATGTCAC